CATGAATGCCCAAATTTTTCACATGCTGTTTGATATTGGGGCCCATTGCAGTTGCTAGCTGCTGAAGAATGCTCAGTGTTTGTTGCACCTGCACATAAACAAAAAGGCTTTGAATAGAACAGTTACAACCATGTCTGCAAAACTCCAAATCATATGGGGAAAAGTAACACTGCTGTACACCTAGGCTTTTACCTTAGAATGCCTGCTCAAATGATGTCTATTCCAGACTTTAAATTCATCACACAGATAAAAATTATTTCTATATTCTGAGTAAATTAAAAGTTCAATTAAAAATACTTTCAAACAAGGGACACCACTTTTGTCATGAGCACAGCAATTATTCAAACTTCTTTTTTTTTTTTTTTTTCCCCCCCCCCCCCCCGCTTGTTTGAGATATACTTACATCCAGAGTAGAGATCGATTTCACCTTTTTGAAGGCTTTTTTTTTAATTTAATGCAAAGCAAAGATAAAAGCAAATACATGATCCTGAGATACACAGTTCACTGTCTTCCAACACTGTTGATTTCTTAGATTGAGTAATAAGCAAGATTCTAGAAATCATAAATAGTATGATTTCTAAATAGCATGTCTTAAGTTCTAAGCTGGAAACAGCTGAAACAGGATTTCAAATAACATACCAAGATTTTATTGGAGTCATTGAGCCGACTCTTCAAAGCAGCTGGAAGTTCTCCTATGTTTGGCTGTATGAACTTAGCATCATTTATTATGCTTGTCACTTCATCTAGACCTTCCTTTCTGATCTTCCAGTTTTTGTCCCCAATCTTAGACACTAGTTCAGCTGTGATCTTATCTCTATAAGAAGAAAAAAAGAAGTCCATTTTCTTAGTTATGTGTCTTTTAGTATTTGAGTGCTCTAACACCACAAGTTTCTGCTTAGAAACTGTTTATAAACACAAAATTTTGAATTGCAGTTGGAAGTATGTCTTCAGGTTGTAAAATCTAAACCTACCCAATATCTGTTCTTGGCAAGAGATCCACAACATCATTGCCAACTTCCTCCTGTTCTTCTTCCTCACCATCATCCCCACCGCCCCCATTGTGCCTGGAAATGCCACGAGTTGGGACTGGTGCCGTCTGCCCTTGCACCTGCAAGAAAGACAAAAATCAGAAACAGCTATTTTACAGTTTTTCACTTGACATTAAAAATAAATACACTTGCATGATACGAATGTGCCATCTTGCGGTGATAGACATCCAAAACATTATGCTATTTAAACAAAAAACATTTTGAGGTTTGCAGTGAAAACAGTGACTACTGACATAGCTGGACATAATGAGTTTGCAGCAGCTTTGGTGAGCTGTCTTAAAAAATACAGTTCACTTAAAAAACCCCACAGGTTAGACCACGGTATTACTACAGATTCCAGCTACTGAGGTTTCCAAGTAGTTTTAATGATACTTCGTAGTAAGAGCTACACTTCATACCTTTTCAAATTCTGCATCTATCTGGGAGAGAAGGGCTGGCTTCTCATCCTCAAAAAACATTCGCAAAGGAGGTCCCACATAAAGATACATGACTCCCAGCAAGGTTATGGCAGAAGTCCTTACAGCCTGCCAGAAAGAGGATAAAAGCACTCAGTCTTCAAATTAAGGATTGATAGGCTTTTAATCCTGAATTATTACATTTACTCACTGGGTTAGTTGCAGCAAGTGCTGTCTTCACATTACTGATGAAAGCTTTGACATTCAGTCTGTGGGGAAAAAAGATATGCCCCATGACTAAAATGCAACACAGGAAGCACCAACAAAATCACAGTATGCTAAAGGAAAAAAAGTGCGCTGAGAACAGATTCATCAATTAACTTACAAGCAGAAGATATTTGTATTTATAAAGTACTACCGCAGGTACAGTGTAGATGGTAGCTCTTTAAATACCTACTGAAAGAGATCAGTTTGGGGAATAGCCTACTATGAAAATCAACACAGTGAACACAAGATAAATTATATCAAAGACTTCTATTATTACAGCTGTAAAGTTTCTTAAACTGCATCACCCACATGATTTCTAGGACTGAAATATTGAGGGATGAGTCTAGAATCATTTTAAGAACCTAATACATGGCTACACAGTAAAGGTGAGACTTTGTTTGAGGGTTTTTTTGTTTGTTTGGCTTTTTTTTTTTTGTTAGTCTGCCTCAGGATCCTCCAGAAAAAGGCACAAGTTTCAAAAAGAAATTTAGAAGAGAAAGAAAGGAAGGTTTAGATTACTGAATCTTATACTGAATACCACTACTGAATTCCACAGAAGAGAAAACAGGCAATCATGGAAGCTTCCTTTGTGCAGCCTCAAACACTGCTGTTCTAGTATCATATCTACACATACATTACCCTGCTGGAAATACATACTTCTGGGGAAATGTACTGAAGAAGAGAGTTTATTTTCCAGACTTAACCAATGTTACTATCCATTTAATAGCTGTGAAACAACTTGGGTAGGCATAGCAACTGCCCAAGTAGTCAAGTAAGTTAATATTTGAAGTCTTCACTGCTTAGAGATTTTGTTCTCAGGAGTAAACTGTATTACATATGCTTGACCACATTCAGTTAAGAGACTGGTGATTAACAATTAAGGAATGCTATCCCTAGTTCTGATGGAGAATCCATTTCTTACCCTCACAGCACCAGATGCATTAATGGCTATTTTGTTGGCTAAAACTTCATCCTGTTATCAGCCTCAAAAATCTCTCCCAAGGACAGCAATAAGCGTGCTGCTGTGTACTCTTCTGCAGGCTGTCCAATTTTTTTTTAAATTATAAAATAGTGATCCACCTGGGTGCAGGCATATCCAAGCAGAATTGGAACAACAGACATGCAATACCACAGCTCCTTGCCCAGTCCACTCCTATAGTATACAGAGTTTAAGAAATACTCTTCAGAGAAGGCTGGGTGATGAATAAAGCATCCAGTAGTGTAATAATATCCTATCCTATTAGTAATGTCGATACTCTCCTTTACACATTTAGAGCTAGAAGAGCACCTGACAGGGCTAGCATCAGAGTTTAAGGAATAAGAGTTCAGATGCACTTGCAGCCACCCTCTTCAGACCAATTTGAGAGAGAAGGACAGATTTTTAGTCCTAGATTACAAACATTTTCATTCAAGTTTCTCTTAGAAATTTATTTAAAAGACGTACCCAGAAAAGCCAAACTCTTTAATTGCATTTGAAAGCCAGTTCAAAGTTTCTGATTGGTTTTTAGGATTCTTTTGAGAGAAAGCCATAGCCACAATCTGGAAAAGAAGAGTTAAGTGTAAATTTTCACTGGCAAACCAGGTGACAAAGCACTGTAATAAAGGAGTGAAGACACCTGCAAAAAACACAGGGCACTGCAAGTAAACAGAAACAGCTGGGGTAACATACATGGAAAAAATTGTTGTGTCCCTGTAGCAGAGTACGATTGCAATTGAAGTGAACCAGAAGTTCTTCAAGTACTTAAAGGCAGAGATACCTTTATTATGGATGTGTACCTACTTTGGCAGTATTTCAGCAAAATACTGATTTACTACTTGTTACTTCCTCTTTTGGAGGAACTTGTATTTAACTTCTGCCTTAGGAGGTATCTTGAGAGCAAACAAATCACTTCCAGGCAACAGAGAAAAATCAAAGATTTAGGATTTACTCCTCAGACTGAAAGAACACCACACACAATATTTCTGATTTTACTGGAAGAATACCTTTGTTGTTCACGCACCTGCTCAGCAGTCCATGGCAACTGACATGCCTCTGCTATTGCTGTCATGGCTTCTTTTGCATTACTCCCACATTTTACATCACCAACCTTGTCAACAAGGCCATCCAGTACAACCTGGGCTGAAGTTTTGGAGAAGTTTCCTTTCTGTGCAATCAACGCAACGATATGCAGCTTCATCTGCATCACCTGGGAACATCCATAACAGCAAGGAAGTTACTCATGTCTTCATGTATATACAATTTTTTTATTCTATACATTTCTAGATAGATATAAAAATATACTTGTTTGTGGCTAAACACAAATGTATACATAGAATATGTATTTGTGTGTATACACACACAAATGTATATACACATTTGAATATTAAGTTTGTGTGAACACAAAATATTTGTGTACACAAGCACATATTTATATACACATGTAAAAGCGTATGTGGTTATACATACAATTTGTATGTACACACAAATATATATTTTTGTATCTGTTATGTATATATACAAAGTCAATAATACTGTGCAGCCATTACCTACTTTTAGAACTTATATACATACTTACATACGTACACATATCCACACACGTATACACATCTGGATATCTTCAAATGTTGTCTCAACCATCAGCAGAAATAAAGTCTTTCAGAGTTATAATTCTCATTGACTACAGATACAACTGTGATCATGGTGCTACGACTATATATGTCAATGACATATATACACCTACAGACTTTTAGTTAGAAACACAGCTTACGTTAAGTAACAAAAATGGACTGTTAGTTATTGAAGGATAATGCATTACCTGAAAATTTGTTTCCTTCCAACCAGGTTTCTTGGCCAGCATTCTTACTAGAGCTTGGCAAGGCATTTCACTTCTCTCCATAAGCTCAACAGCCTAAAGGATAAACATTGTTAGCCAGTGGGTCACAAGTGATACAAATCCCAAAATGCTGTCCTGTAAATACTTTCTTAATACCAAACTAAACTGCAGAAATTCTCAACATAAGAATTTACCTAGAGAGCCTTACTACAAGACCTGCTTTTACAAGGAGTCCATTTTACCAATACCGAGCCAACATTTAAAATAAGAGCATTCACATTGCTACACTTCATATGTTCTTTAACAAGTGTCCTTACAATCACTGTTGGCCATTCTAGCCCTGGAAACGTAACACAACTAAAAAAACCTGCAAGCTGTTTTGTGGTGGTTGTATTTTGTTGTTTGTTTCTTTCTTTTGTTGGGGTTTTTTAATTTGTTTTAAGAGAAAGTATACTGTGTGACTTTCACACTGGAATATGCTGGCTGCACAGCAGAGATTAAGCCTGAATGTAATTTAAATTCCTGTTTTCACTTGTTGTTAGGCTTATCCATTCCACTGGAACTGTAACATCTTTACATTTGAGTAAAGCTGGTTTCTGCAGCAGCATTTCAATGCAGCCCGTCACCATTTCATAATTTAAGTTAGTCACCTTTTCCACTAAAATGTTACAAACTCAGTCGCAACTGTAATGGTGTAGTGGTATGAACTATTTGTACATCTACAGTTGAACCCTTTTTGAATGTGAACTCTCAAAGGTCTTAACACAGATATGATAGGAAGAAAGCCAGACTCAAATCCATACATTTGAATGATACATGATTTTTTTTTTTTGTTTGCTTGTTTGTGACTACCTGAAGCACTTGCCACCAGCTGTGAAGATTGCTTGAAACATCAACTATTTGCCATCTGAAATTTTAGTATTATAATCAATTGTTGCCTAATATGCAATCAGCAGGGACTTACTTGCAACCGGTTTTGCCCAGTCATTGCAAAATTTTTGTTTAAACCTAGTTATCTTTGAGATTAAGCTTTAGAATTATTTCATGTTTAAGAAGCACTCTCTGTATCCTCAACCCACATGCAAATATTTTGACAAAAGCATAACTATCTACATTAAACTAAAAGACTTGCTCCACTGTTGTTATGGAAAAAGAGCCAATCTAAACCATATAAGCCACTTGGATTAAACAATACTTGCAAAAGACAGCTGAAGTGTTGACATATCACTACTACTGGTATATCTTTAAAGAGCTACCAGGCCTGAAAAGCTGAAGAAATTATTGGTTGCTTTCCCTCTCCCTACCTGCCTCTCTTCTTATCAACTAATACAAACTTACCTTCTGAAACTCCTCCATGCAGGCAAGCCTTTCTTTCCAGTTACCACTGTCCAACTGCTGGATACAAGAAGCTGGAAGGACAGCAGCAGCTTTCTCTTCACATACTTCTATCTGCAGACAGATCAGAACAAGATTAACAACCCACTGTATCCCTCCGGAGGGGGGCAACAGCCTTAAGGATAGGTAATATACTTGAATAACCGTTGCACTGTGGTGCATTTACAAGATATGAAGTGTTCTGTTGTAGGTTGAAAGATTTTGTACGGATTATAGTTTGGGGGGGCTTATGAACATAGGAAGCTGCTAAATTGTACTGCAACAGAAGAGTAATCCCTGAAAAGTATGATAAATTGTGCAGACAGGTCAAAAACAGTCCCAAGTAGCAACTATCTACTTCTAGAATCAAGCAGAGATAACCTAAAATTTGCAAGATAATTTTGTATAAAGTCTAAATAAACATTCACAGCAATGAATTGGTGGTTGATAAGGGTGGACAGGAGAAGACTTCTGCATCCATCTGCACTATCTTCTGCATCCATTTTAGCAAAATAAAGAATTAAAGTTATTTAATATATGAAAAATTATTAAAACTTCCCTTGTTTTACTGGTGTCTGTATCGCCTTCAGGAAGGGTATACTCATTTTCCACTGTATAACTAGCGATATAAACTGGATATATAATGGAAAGTATTCATTCTAAGTGATACTCTAAAGATAACTGACAGTCCAAAAAACTTGCAGATACATCTAGCAAAGCTTTAACAGCTTTTTATTACTGTTTGATCTACAGATAGCTTAGTTTACCTGGTTCCCTACCAAGAAGGTGTGTAGATGCTCAATTAACATGCAGATTTCAATAATGTTCTTCAAGTGTAACTTAATATGAACAGTATGGAATAAACTTGCATTAGTTTGTTTAATTACTACTGTATTCTACTTCAGATTTCAATGTAAACTCCAGAATACTATATTCTCAGTATTCTCTGACATCTTCAGCAAATCATGAATCCTAAATTACACAAAAAGTAGTCATATCATTACCTTTTTTCATCTGTTCCTAGGGACAACTTGATATATTAGCATGATTTATTGTTTACTGTCTTATATGGCCCGGTACCAACAACAGCCTGAAGAACTGAATAATATATTGAACATCCATTTTACCAATTATGAATTCCATTTATTTAAATGCATTGCTTTCCCTGGTCCTAACAAGAAAACCACAACTTCAGTGAAAAATTCTGTGGAAAAATTCTGTGGTAGCTGAAGGACTGATTAATCAAGCTACTGATACAGAAAACTTCATATTTCAGAGAATAGCAGAACACTCACTGAGAGCTCCGATTCAAATATTTCTTTTGTCTCAGGACCCTTCTTGCCTTTAGACCCAGCACCTCCCATACCTGCGGCTGCAGCTGGTTTGCCTTTCTTGGGTGGACCAGACTAGAAAGGAAGTGGAAAAGTCAGCCAAGATCAAACAGCTCTCTAGTTCATCAGATACAAAAAGAACTGCTGTTTTTCCACACTTCTAATGTCAAAAAATACCTATCTCTAGTACCATAACAGCTGAAGGCAAAGAAACAGTTTCCTGCTAGAGCTTAATTCATATGTTGCTTTCAGACTACCGGGTCTTATAAAAGATGTACAATAATAGGCACAGACAAGACCACGAAAGAAAGATGAAAAGGGAAAGAATGCATGTATTTGTGAAGGTTCAGGAAATAATGAATTCATGCATATACTCTCCTATGGCTACCGATTAGATATTAAACTTCCAACTGGTGTCTCTTTTCCAGGCTACCAGAATATCAACAGATTTTTAAAAAATGTGATCCATTCTACTATTCACTTCCAGGTTTCCCACCTGGAGAAACAAGTAGCATATTACAAAGACCATCTATAGAGCATCTTAGGTCAATTTTAAAAATCCAAACAATCATTTTAAATGGTAACAAACTAAAAACAACACTGAAGAGAATACTCAACACCCAAGTAGTAACCTTGCTAGTTATAAGAAGAGACATTGACTTCAGCCATATATTACTATATCACCACAGAGAACATTTATGTTACAACATCTAAAGGCTCCTCTGAATGCCTCCAGTGGTCTATCACTATTTCAATATCAAAATAGAGTATTAAGACGTAAGTGACAAGACAGTTTGTATCATTAAAAACTGAGATTTCATGAAGTATATTCTTGGAAAGTCACAAATTTTTTTTGTTGTTGGGCTCACCTACTCCTGGAGAAGGATAGCGATTCCTCAGTGGAAGGAGATGTTCAAGAGGCCACACTGATCTTCAATAAGTAACTATTTCATGCAATCACAGACAACTGTGATTGTCAGTCTCTCAGCAATTTCTTACCTTCACAGCAGGTGCTTTTTTCAGTGGTCCTGCTTTGGTTGCTGCATCTTTTGTTTCTTTATCTCCACCAGTGCCTGAAAGAGCAGGGCTCTTCCCAGTAACAGGCTTGCCTTCTTTTTTCTCAGCAGCTCCTCCTGTCTTTTTACCATAAACCAGTTCTACCTTTTCAGCACACTCTTTAATCTGGCAAGCAGTTAAAAAAACAAAAGCAGGGGGAGGGAAGAAGAAAAAAAAGGAGAGGGTGTAGAAAAAAAGCTATTTAGCTACCACAATTGGATATACAGTGTCCTTTCAACAACAGTGGCTCAAACTTGATTACGCTGGAAAAAAGTGAAGAGTTTAAGTCGTTTACTTCACAAAATTTTGTTATCCTGTATTCTTAACAGTAGTTATATTCACCAGGCAATGGCATCAGCCATCACTGTATGTACTAAGAATATTATTCTAGCAAAAGTGGAGCACAGAAAGTATTGACACCCCCCTAATACTTACAGATGTTCTAAAGACTAATTCTTAGCACCTTAAGTTGTAAAATCATCATTCAGTCAAACCTGTCAGCTTAAGCAATAGCACCAAAACTTTGTTGTTAGAAAGTAAGCCTTTAATACCAAATCCTCTCTAGTAATACAGAATTAGACCATGTGGTTGTGACATAAAACCCTAAACTGTTTCAGACAGAGAAAGTGTTCAAAAACAAACCAACAAAACCCAGCAACCAACCAACCAACAAGCACCAACAAAAAACCCCAAAACACACCAAAAAACCCCAAACCAAACCTCACCTCATAACCCACCTCATAGATAATACAGCATTGAAGCCCAGATACTTTACATGAGAATAAAAAGGTGCAATGTTAACATACTAATGCATTTTAGGTAGAGGAAGCCAAAGAAAAGATGCTTGATAATCTAGCAAGACGAAGAAATTTTCAGGTTCCCTGCAACATCAGTAACTTTTAAATAAAAAAATCAGTTTTCAAAAATCTGTGCTGGAAGCCATTAGCTAAAGCATCCTCTTTAGTCTTCTCTGGCCTAAGATGCATCTTAAATGGATAAATGGAGCATTTTTTTTACAACATTTATGATAAACTCACCCGATCAAGCTTTAGTTTGTCTACATCTGCTAGAAAAGGATTCACAGCTTTCTCTCCAGCCACTTTCAAGGCAGTGCCTAATGCTTCAAACCCAGCATCTCTTACTTCAGGGGCAGAATCATTGATATGCTGCAGAGAAAGACAACTTACATCATGTGACTTGCAGTCCATATCTAAACAGATTCTTAAATCCATCTTCCATAAAAATCCCCTCCCCATTTTTAAAAATGTACATCTACTACAGAAAAACCCTTAACATTCCACGGCAGAAAGAAAAATATTGTTTTTCACTTCTGCTTTCCTATGTACTGACCAAGTCTACTGTTTCTCAGATATAGTCAGTATACCATCTTTGGATCTTTCACACAAGAAGAGAGTGAACATTCGTGCTTTAATAACGGATACTGCCACACCATGAAAGTTCACAAGGAGTTGGAAGTTCTGTAACCCTATTCAGACCTCCATTTTTGAATCCAGGGATACCTCCCATTACAAGGAAAGGGATACTTTGCAATGAGAAAAAAGTATACATCATTATAATATACACTGATAAATGCTCTAGTGTAACTGCAGCACATGAATCAACGATAGTTCTTTTATTCATGGTAAGTAATATGTAGCATTCCAACAAAAGCTTGCTAGAGATGCCTGCAAGAATCAAGTGGCACAGTGCCCAGAAGTTTAATAGCTGCAAATCACTGTCTTAATCTGTTACAACCTTGGTGTGTCTTCTGTTTCAGAGAAGCTAAGAAAAAGGAGACTAGACTGTTCCCATGACTGACAGTCTCATCTTCAGGTTTGACATCAGTCAAAACTGACTCTGATGGCTACATAGCACACAAGAACCCTTTAGTCCTTGCACTACCAGGACTTTCTCTGAGAACAATCCAATGCTTCACAACAAGGCTCGAGTCTGTGCCAAAGAAGTACCAGCTCCTTCTGCTTTACCTTGAGAAGTGCAGCACAGAAAGGTTTTAACAGGCTTTTTGGCAGAGTAGAAGGTGTACAGTGACGGAAGCTTCTTGCAATGAAAAGTGATGTTTGTTGCTTAATGGTTGGGTTTTTGTTGTCCATCACTGCCAACACATCTTCACTTATGTTCTGCAATGTGGTCTACAGTGTTGGATAAAGAAGTCATTAGTTTCAGTAAGAGAAAGGCAAATCAGAATTAGAGACCAATTCTCAGACAATGGGAAAATCGTCACTCTTACTTACTGTAAGAAAGATTGCGTCGATGGCTTCCTGCAGTGCCTGCACTACCTGAGGCTTTTTCTCTTTAAATTTCTCCAAGATTGTTGGAACAACCTATGGAAAAGTGAAAAAGAAACAAATAAACAAACACAAACTACTCAATCTACTCTTCAGTAATATATTTGGAAAGCCTGATTGTCTGCTCCCTGGTATTTTGTAGAGAAGCAAATGCAAACATTACTGCTGCCCCCTCCAGGGGTACACAACAGCAGTAGTTTATTTTATCTGATCTCCAATATTAAATTAATTCCAGTCAATGTATTCAGAAATACAGATTTTTTTTGAGCAATCTCATAGCAAAGCTAAACAAAAAGCAGATATACAAGTTCCCATAAGTACACATGAATATTGTGACTCTACTGGTCTGGAACACAGAGAAACAGAACAGAAATTAAAGAATTCAAGAAGCTATATAACCTGTCCCCTCTTTCCCAACTTCCTGACAGCACTCAGTCAGCATGGCTTATCTAAGAATTTGACCCACAGCTGACAAGACCATGGTTCTAAAAGCAACCTGAATTCTTCCTGGAGCAATATTTTTTTGATCTGTCACCTTGGAAAAGCACACCTGACACTAAACTATGCCATAGTGGAATTTCACAGCAATTTATACCCTATCTAGCTGCTCAGTCACTGCTGAAAAATAAAGAAAAAAAAAAAGGAAGAAAAAAGAAATCATCATTCTCATGTCCCAGTAATACTAGCAGCTCTATTTAAGTATGGTCTGTGTAACAGTAAGAACTTCTCTCAGTCAGTCAGAAACATGCAGAGCTTTTAACTGTGGAAAGCGGGCCATTTTCAAGATTTTCATAAACATAATGCAGTTCATAGTTTGGAAGCAGTCTGATGCCTTACAGAAGTTATGAGCTCTTGCATAATACAAAATAGGTTTTCCTCAGCTAATGCTTTCTACTCAGAAGCTGACTATGAAAGCCCAGTCCCTCGTAACACAGAGTGACCTAGGCTCAGCTGGTATCCTTTGCTGGGCCTCAGCTTGCGAACTCCCTGTTCACAAAGATTTTAGCTCTAAAGAAACCCCTTTAATACAGAATGGCACCATAAGGACCCTCATACATGCTAGCGCAGGTGCTAGACACCCCTAAACACTACAGAGAACAAAGTAATAAAAAGGAGATATTTAAAATTATTAAGTCTTTATTTTAGTAAATGCTGACAGGTAGAATGAATGTTTTTTAACATTGAAGTCAGAAGCTGTATCCTATGTGAGAGAGGAAAGGAAGGAAGAAAAGTCAGTCTAGGGCTCCAAAGACAGTTAGAGGTGAAGTTGGGCCACATGCACTCAATTACAGCGAGTAGTATGGTTCTATGCTTGATTTAATCACTCTTGTTTTAACATAGCCTGCAGACTGTAATATTACAGTCCTATATTTAACTAATAGAGTTTATCATAATCCCACAATTCTAGCAATAGTCTGTTTTATAACACTGTGAATGCCAGCTCTCAGGAGAGCTCTACATCTTCCTCACTAGTAAATAAATCCCAGCACACAAATCAAGTGAACTGGTAAAATGAGTGCTGAGATTATGCAATTCATAGCTGCCATTACAGTACTGAAAAAAGTTACCCTCTCAACACCATTTGCTTGGCAACCAGGGAGCTATGCCCTTATTTCAGAAGCTTAGTTTTTTCAGTACTAACTCGGTAGTTATAAGGGTTAACCTTTAAAACACAACTTAAGTGTAAACAGATATAAGAATGCTTCTTGCACCTACAGACAACTTTCAGAATGAAAGAGACTTTGTTATAGAATCATAGAATTGTTTGGGTTGGAAGGGACCTTCCAACTAAAAGGTTCTTCCACTAGACCAGGTTGCTCAAAGCCCCATCCAGCCTGGCCTTGCTTGACCTTGTTCAAACTGTTAAGAGCTCAGGAGACTTGAATGTTTCTGAAGCAGTGAGATTCAGTAACTTTCCAATTCATCACAAAATACTGCCAGCAGCCAGACACATCAGTTCTCTCATCTCTAAGCTCTACCTCCATCACTCTTACTTATCACAAGAGAAGTTTGACTGAGCAGCTTTAAAGAATACAGCAACAGAGGCTTGAGAAACAAGTGAGATAAAGGGAGTTTTTAATTAGTTGCAGTTATTTCCAGACTGATTAAGCTTCCCCATATTCCCTGATATTATCTGTTAGTAAAAAAAGAGTAGCAAAAGAGAACAGAGAAGAGCATTAAACTACATCACCAGAACATTTCGGTACAAAAAAAATCTCAGTGGCTTTGCCACTTAAAGCAAACCTCACAAAACCCAGACAACAAACACACACAAACCCCACCACCAACCCCCTCCCAACATTCAAAAAAACCACCAAAAGCCCAACCAATCTAAAACATACATCATGGAGCTGCTAAGTCGAATTCAGGTTCAGCATTTTTTTTTCAGCTATTTTTTCCACTGCGGCCTACAAATGCATTTCTGCGGGTGTATCTCCAGAATGAGATAATGTAAATAAAGTTCATTTCATGGTAGAGTAATTCAGAGCTGTATAAGTACAGAAAATTTATTGCAATAGTAAGTTTTATGTTGCTGAATGTGAATAGACAAGGTCCTTCTAACCTTAAGCTGCAAAAGATCTCAGCAGATATTTCACTGCTTGCTCCATTACAGGATAGATAAGCATTCATAATTGTACAAAGAATACCTTTGATGAATACCTTTGATAAATACCAAGGTTTGGGAAAAAAAAAAGATAGTGAGATATTCCCTGGTGTCCAGCATCAATAAAAACAGAAAAGAAGTACACACTCTTACTTACATGCCCTGCATACTGTCCAAATTTTTTTCGGAGGCCAGCAGCTAGTCCAGCAAGGCATTTGGCAGCCAAAGCAACTAACATAACATTTGTATCCTTTCCAACAACCTGAAGAAAAAATAAAACAAAAGATCAAACACCCCAAAAAACAAGGTTAAAGACTGAAAATCCAAGTTTCAGAGACTTGGAAGAATTTCTTAAATCGTGGGCCACAGATCAGGTTATTTCCACCACTTTTCCAGCTAATAATTTTCTACTCATTAATATTACCCAACTGTATATTTCAAAGTGTAATACAAATAAATTACAAAAATATTAAACCATATGTGCACCCAGAGTTTTATTTATTACTTTTTTGAGAACTTTCACCAAGTCTGCATAGTCTCCTGATTCCAGTTTGGGATTTTTCACCAGCAGTTCAACAGCTTCTAGAGCTTCTTTCCTTTCTTGCCACTTTTTTGCTTCCTGCAGAGCAAGTAATTACATTAATTTATATATGCAAACAGTTCTAGAGAAGCATACTTGCCACAAACCATAGATTTTTAAAATTTAATTCTGACTTGAGAAAGCCAAAGTCTTCCCTGAAGTTCAACATCAATAATGGCAATTAAATACAAAATACAGGCCTTTCCCAGGACATCTCTCAGCTCCTTAAAATTACAGCTTTCTTGCTGGTAAATCAAATTTTGAGACTTATTTATGATAGCCTATATTTTACTTACATTAGTCTGTTATTATCCATGTAGCAGTAAAGCATACATTGCATAATGCCAGTAAGTCTTAAGACTCATTAGCTCCACATGTTATAGAATTAATTGGTAGTATTTAAGTTTATGCTTACTATTTTCTCATAGAAGTCTTTGGGAAGCTTGGAAAGAATTTCTACAGCTTCAAGCAATTCATATGCATCTACTTGTGGTACTGCCTCTTCCTCATCATCACCTCCTGCAACCAGAAGAGAGAAAAAATACAAGCAGAGCAACAAATGAAATTTCAACTACAGCACCATCTAAGGCTCACCGTTGAGATAAAGTACTATCAGCAGCTGTGGTTTTTCTATTCCAAAGAACAGATACACTTTCATACAAAGCTTTTGCCCCAGCCACATTTTCTTGTTATGTGCTGCACCCCACATATTCTGCACCAGTTTGAGTAAAACCACCTTTACAATTTAATGCATTCCTTCACAAATAATATACCAGTGATACACGTTCCAATGGAGTTCAGAGATTAAATAATTTACCTCCATCTGCATCTCCTCCAACCGCCTGTTGTTGCTCAAATTTTGCTTTCAGCTCCTGTTGGGAGCGCAGGAACCTGGTCTGTTTAGGAGCAGCTGATGACACTTTGACCCACTCTTCTTCCAGTTCTTTTAGCTGGAAAGTGAAAAGAATCATCGTACCAGAGACATTTTGTACATACACCAAAACATGCAATGCTTCATGGAAAGCAATGGGGTTTTCCCATTTCAAAGCCAAGATACCACTACCTTTCAAGTTCTTTTTTCTGCCACCAAAGTAGTGACTACCCCTTCACATTCACTGTTCAGAAGCTTTTGACCAAGTATACCGACAGAACAGAACATCATCAACAAAAATATCAGTGCAAAGCATTTACATAAGAACAAACTGTAGAACAGGCAGAATGGTGTGTCCCCTTTGTAGAAGCTTTAAAATAAAAATGTCTGAGCATGAAGAAAGATCTTTTTGTTACAGCCATGCTATTATTACACACTAAGACAAAACAAACATGTTGAGCTACATTCCATGAGACTGTTTTGGGGTGTTTTTCTAAAACCATGTCTTTTTCCAGCAGGTTATTGCTTTCTATATCAACACAGTTAACCCAAGTGGGTAGAAGAAAAGGATACATAGTTTATGAAGTTTTAAAATAACAGAATGTTCTATCTCCAATAGCATAGTTATCTATCATAATGTAACACCACTTCCTGAAGTGGAACAGTCACATCCTGAGCACCACCAGAACAAGTCTGAAGGGCTGCGTGAGGAAAAAACTTCATGAAAAAAGAAAATTGAGAAAGGAGAATGGTCAACTTGAAAACTTTCAGTGCAGGGGTCTTATTATTTTAGTAACCATTTGCTCTTAGGTTAGGCTCCAAGAAGTACCAATTCTACATCTCAAATCTCATCCTCAATGATGCGTCCCCCCACAATTTCACATATATTCAGAGTAACAAAACATTGTCACAATTTCTTTAGAAATAACAGAGGGACCAACCTTCTAGGTAAAGATACAGGAAGTTAAAAAATAACGTTACTATTACTGAAAAATTCCAGCTTTGACTTTAAGAATGCCCAACACCACAGGATCAGGGAGGGTGAGCATCAAAGTGTTTTCTCAAATGTCTGGATACAGAACTACTTTCTGCCTACCTGAACAGAATTTATGTTCTGCAATGGAGGTCTCAGAGCATCCCTTATCCAACGATAGATCTCTACAGCAAGGAGTTTGGCTTCATCTCGAACAGCCTTTTCCCGAGACTCAAAAAGTTTTGGCAATACTTTAATGATTGGCTTCAGTGAGATTATTTTTGAACCAAATTCACTGAAAGTTAAAAATATAGAATAGCATCAGTGCCCAGGTAGGAGCCAGAGTGTGATCCACAAATAATATTTGATTTTTTTTTTTTTAAACAATCTATGAAATGCTTCCAGTGTACTTTCAGGATCGTGTCATTTACTCAAACCATTATTATAGCTATTATTTTGTGAAGCTACTAAGTTAATGCAAAATTTTAAAAAAAATATTTGCCCTATCATAATTACCCTCCACGCCCAGCTTGGAATTACAAAATCAGGACTCTGAAATTACTTCAAAGCACTTAATCCAATCTTCTGCTTAAATCTGTTCCCTTGCCCAGAGGTGGGGGAAGAAAAAAGAAAAAGAAGAAAGAAGTGACCATAGACCAAAATTTGTATGACCTACTTTTTTTTTTTTTTTTTTTTAAATCAAACTAGAATCTCCTTTGTCTATCCTTGGAGGCAAACTGCAGTAAAAGCATTAGTCACTTTTCCACTTGTTGGACCAGATAATTATAGTGAGCCTGGGTCATCTTCACAGAAAATACACGTGTTGAAATATGTGCTGCTGAAAGGACACATAAAACAAGTTTCCCCAGCCCATCATCCTTCCCTGTCAGCAGATTCTACATCTTGTTGAACTTAATACACTAAAACTCCTTTTTCAATCACTGCTCAATAAGAACATGAGAACTTTCTTTTCACACTCATAGTAAGGTTAACTGCTACAGTTCTTAAAGCATCATATCTAAATCATCTCAGAAGCCATAATTTTTTTTTTTTATTCAGAAGCATTTCTTTTCCTTGAGAATTCTGAATTAACTTTTCCCATCACACTTTTTCTTCTACTTCCCTCCAATCAAGCACCACATCTAAAAGCTAGGAAAAATAGCTGCTCAGGAACTAAAACTTAAGTGTCTCACTTTCTAAAAATTCCAGTGCTAAACATTTTATTGCCAAGCCCACTTTGAGAAATATTAAGTATTAAAACATACAAAAGAGGCTCCAGTCTTAGAAACAATACAACTTAAGTGCAGAATATAAGCAAATGAGTTGCCCAAGATTTTTTTTTTTCTACCATGACTCAAAAAAGACCCTATGCAAATTCTCTTATTCTTCTCTAATTCATATAATATTACCTAATTCATATAACACCACAAGAAAGAACAGAAACCTTAACACAAGATTAAAACCACCAGAACCTAAACTAATTATGCACTCAGGCTACCCACCTAGGCACAAGAGACAAATTTTGTTATCAATACAGAAACCCTGACAAAGCTCAAGACAAATTTAAATAGCAACACAGCTCAGAAGCAGAAGATAAAGGTTAAATCAATAGGGCTCCATGAAAGAATTTGATCTTGCCATCTCAAAGATAAAGAAATACTGCATATAAAAAAAAAGTCAGATGCGGCACATTTTATAGACATCATTAGTTGAAAAATATTGAGGAAGGTTATGCAGGTTTCTAATTACACTGTACTGTTAAAAGGACATTTGATTAGATAAGGCCATTTAAAATAGCTAAAATATATTCTTAGATGTGGGACAGTAATTTCACTTTGTAGAAGCACAGGCAATGTGCTAAGCCCAATGCTTTACTTTGACTTCTATTACAGAAGCCTTAAACAGTTTAACAAGGACCATCTACACATATGCTTCAGCAAGTTCTCCAAAAAACACCTAGCATTAAGACACCCTCCATCTATATTACACAGTTGTCCCATGAACTACTTCTCAGAAAAAAGTATTCCAACCATTAATACCAAAATTATGTTTCCTTTCAGAAAAAAAAATAACCAAAAACATCTAATGGACAGTGTAAGAGTTCGATAAAACCCTAGTATTTATTTTTCACTGAATTCAAAAGGCAGCAAACATACTTGAAGTAGAACAAATGTTCCAAACCTAATCTTGAAACCAACTACTCCATCTTAACTAAACTGCATTTGATTTTTAGGGAGCATTGTCAACTTTTCTTTTTATAAAGAAATTGTTTGGACAATGGAAACTTACTGTGCAATGAGGTTTTTTTTTTTTCCTCTTTCTTGCAAAAATACACACAGTGTACCTAATTAAAGATGCTCACAACAGTGAAACAAAATAGTGTTTTTTTTTTTAAAAAAAGTCTTTAAAAAACCCCTACATTTTAGTTTTCCCATCAGTGAGTTTATTTCAGCTATTCAGAGGAGAAGCTCCCCAGTCTGGAACAAGACACACTAATCCTGCCCTTCTTTCGGAGATCCATTGTGAAAACGGAAGTTTGGTAAACAGTTGCCATGAATGAAAGTGATCCAGATGAGGCTTGTACAACAAAGACATCCCTCAGATCTAACAAACCCCATGATGCTCTCAACTGTTGTTGTCAAAAAAATATCAGTTCAGTAATGATGTGTCTTATTCAACAATAACAAGGGCCTACTAAGCCTTAAGCAACGAATTAAGACTCTACAAACTGCTGGGGTCAGGGGTGGCAGGGAAGACAACAAAACACACACAAAAAAACACAAGCTAAAAACTAAAAGCTTACCTTAGTGCTTTCCTCAGTGTCTCTATACATGCTACTATGATTTTTGGGTTTTTGTTGTCCAGACCCTTTAGTAATTCTTCTTGTACTGCTTCCCCCTTCTCAATTTCTATATACATTAGACATATATCCAGACCCAGCTCTTTCGCTCTGGCTTTTGGCTGATTGAACACTTTATTTACAACTCCAGATGCTACTTCTCCTGTTGTCCTGAAAGACAAGAGAGCGTTACTTTTGGAATATTTAAGTAAATTAAGCGTTCTGCACGATTATCCACAGACAAGCACAAGCACACACAACGGGCAAAGCATGGATTAAAACTCAGCAAGTCCTGATATAACAGGGACTAAGTTCTAACTTAACTTTGAAGGTCATTACCCGTTGTAAAAGGTTAATTAAACTAGAGGTTAAATTCAAAGAACTGCAGGTTGAGTGCTAGTTAATTTGTTCCAAATACTGGACGACGGCAGCCAGTGAATAGTAGACATTTTCTCAAAAGCACATTCGCTAATATATATTAGTTAAGGTCCACAAATAAATGTCATTTCCTGGAATTCCATACATTACAGTTAAGTAACATACAGCATTGGTGCTTAATACCAGCACAAGATTTCACATTATTTCAGAGCTTCCAATCAGCTAAATGATTTACACCACTTTTAAATCAAAGGGGTTTGGAAGGTTGTTAGGTTTTTAAACAAAGCCTTGAGTTGTTTTTTTTTGGTGGGTTTTTTTTCGTGTGTTTTTTTTTTTTTTTAAGACAGACTTTTTTCCATTTCATCAGGTCACAAAGTCAGTGGACCATTAGGTGTTAGGACCATGATCTGGCCCATTAGGTGTTTTTATTTCACCTTCAGGAGTACAGGCTACTTCACAGGCTAGACAACAGTGAAATACTAACAAACATCCTGTGAAGAAATTGGCAACTATGAAGACTCATATTGGTTACATTGGGTGCAACACCACATAAATGCAACTACATTTTATTTCATTAATTAATTGCACTAATATCTCCCTGGATAAAAAGGCTCCCTGCATGTACAAACTGTTTCAGTCAAACAAGAACAGGATACCAGCTCACAGCACCTATACCAAATTACTGATTCACTTGCTCTACCGTTTCAGAAACCTCTACTACTGACTTTAATAGTTTCTTTGAATATTGTAAGCAATTTCTGACAAGTTAACATGCACATGGAGGCCATCTACAAGAAAAGCCTACCATTTGGTAAATTCTCTAGATCAGAAGGCAAGTTCTGCTCTCAACAGTAATGAACAGAATTGTTAGTGGTCACTGTACAATTTACCTGCAGCCTTTCTCAGGGAGGCACATTAAACTGCCATAGCAGCCTACTAATAATAAGAAAAGGATACTTACTTCCCAGCTACATGAGCATTTTCAACATAAGCGAGTGCTGCTTCCAGTCCTTTCAACTGAGCCACCGCATTGGAATCTGTCACAAATTTTTTTATCAATCCAAGATACTTGGACCATTCGGGACTCTTTTCATCATCTATCTTCTGGAAGAGCTTAAGGGCTTCTTCATAACCATTTAATCTGGCTTTCCACAGCTGGAAGGAGAAATAAGATGTTTAAGTGTTATGCTAGTATAATCTTACCTCACCAATTTCTCAAAATTCTTCAATCATAGTTGAAAGTGTGCTCAGTAAGCTGGCATCTTCAGGATTTCTCTTCAATGACTATATGAATAATGTGCACTAGAACAAAATACTCGTTCTTCTCCTGCCAAGAATGATCTGGCTAGAGAGATGCCAGTCTTCCCTACTGCTCTTCGTAAGCTCTAACAATCACTGATGAGTAGGTGGGAGCCCAACAATAGTTTCAGCTACAGATGAGTAATTTCTCCAAATGAAGCAGTGCACTGATCTTTCAGTGCACAAGCTTATGCCATACAGATTATCATGCTACAAAATTCTACTTAATAAATGTTATTCAGCCTCTAGGTTAGAGAAAGCTGATGTAGTTTCAGATCTGTTATATGCATGCTAAGTAGCTGTTGAGATTACCTAGCTATGGTGTACTTAGAGGAGTATCAAAGAATCATCTCAGCAGAGATATATAGCAAGCCAAACCCAAACCCAAGATTTCCTACCTTGTGTTCACATTTCTGGTCAATGGGCAGTTTCATCCACTCACTGTCGTCCCCCATTGTAATTCAGCTTCTCTCTATAATTACAGTAATTCCTGTGGAGATAGAGACAAGTTAGAACACAGAAAAATACATGTCAGGTGCTACTGGCAACATACTTCTACTTAAAAAAAAAAAAAAACAAAACGAAAGACAGTTCTGTAGCAATTCTATTGCTAATGTGCAACCCATTCTCCCAAGCTTGTAATTATACCTAGATATGCACTACTAAGACTAGACCACTATATTCCCATAGCCCTGGAAGGCTAACAGAAGCCTTTTAAGGTTAGGGAGCAGTGTAGTTTGTAGTATTTCAGACACTAGAAGTCTCAGTCTGTGAAAGTTTTAGTAAGCCAAGAAGGCATGCAGAATATAACCTCATCTAAGCTTGAGGAAGAATGCACTATGATTAAGGCACTAAAACAAAATGAGTACCCATCAACACTAGAAAATTGACTTTTACTGACATGTGCTTTCAGCAACAGGTGCTGTGAATCAGTGTCAAAAAATAATCGGGTGCAAGTGTAAGAACAGCCATCTTAACAACTTTATAAACAGCACAATTGAAATGAACAGTACTGCCAGAGGAACAAAACCCATTTTTGCAAGCTGGTCACTTTATGCTCTAATTCTAAGGTAGCTAGCGTCAGCAACTGTCAACAAGGGATCAATTTCTTACCACATGTAGGGCTCAAGTCCTTATTCATTCAAGACCATAAGGTGTTTTCCTCCTTCTCCCCACCTTTTCTTCTTACTAAAACAGGAATACTGACTATTAGGGTATGAGAGATGAGACCTCACGCTCAATGCCCATCTCAGACATGTTGTACAACTAACCTGACTGCTCAGTGACTAATGAGAGAATATGCCTGATGCAGGGAGACCAGCAAAATTAAAATCTAGCAGCAAAAGAAGTAAGAGGGCTCCCAATATTATTTATACAAACAAACTGAAACCAGAGTAACACATTCCAGCATACCTGTTCAAATACATAGACAAAGATGACCAAAACTCTAAAAACTGGCCAGCATATAAAACAATTTATCACTATAGGCATATAAACACACGATACTAGCAGAATATTCCTAATGTAAATTCAGCCTATGCCAGCAAAGCTGCATACCTTAACCTACAAAGTATTTCACCTAAGACACAGAGATTCTCTGCAGAAAATTAACCCCTAGAATTAGAAGTGTAATTTCACTGGTGTAAGTTAACATAAGGAGTTCTCCAAAGCCTTCTGTCAGCCACACAACACTAACATACAGCTAACTTGACAGCAAAATTAGGCTAGCAACAGTCTACAATAAAACCAATCTTTTTTTCCTTCCTTCCTGGATTAGTTAGACAACCCCCAATACTTAAAAAACCAACAAAACAAAAACCAAACCACCACCAGCTACCAACCCTCCCCGCCCCAAACTACACTAAACCTTAAACATCGGAAAATTCCTATGGATGTTAATACTGGTCTCTCTGCAATTGCATAAACCTACTGATTTGCCCAATGGCAATATAATGAAAGTCAACATAAGGACAGAAGTTGATCACACATATAAACAAATGTATTCATGCATTATTACGTTCTGTCCTTCTCATTTCACTAACAGTGATGTGGACACTTTTTCTTGACATCAGCACAGTCATACTGAGAAGTTTGCTTCTTCAGCCAAAAAAAGAAAAAAATCGTTAAGAGGGCCAACGATGAGGATTTAATTAACACCTAGAACTACAAACATTTGAGAATGAAGGGATCACTCTGCTCATTATGTAAGAAATTAAGTACACAGAAGTGAGGCTACCTAAAGCCCATTCTACTGAACCATTAATTCTGGTACACTTTAAGTATACAGCTTACTGAAAAAAACAAAGCAGCTCTCAGTTAAACACTGGTCACAGATTCCTCCATGTCAGAAACTGACAAGAAAAAGGTACTCTGATTTAAAAGTTACAATGAAAAGAAAACTCAAGCTTTGAAATGCCATACCAAAACCAATCAATCACAAGAGGTCAACAAGGCAAGTGAGTTTTGCATCTTTTTGCATTGAAATCCCACCAGCTTTTTTCAGTGGAGCCCCCTTTCATCTGTTTAAACTCTTCTGAATTTTTACTGCTTTATTTTTCTCTGCCCAAACCTCTCATTTGTTCTCTTATCCCTCCCCACAGCCTACTGAAAGAGAGTGTTCAAAACTAAATAGAAATCAACAGCCTCCTGATTAAAATTCAATGTATTTTACCTATTTAAAAAAACAAAATCAAACACACCCCCAAACAAAAAAAAAAGCTCCATCCCACACACAAAAGCAAGACACTCATGGCAAACATGGAGGTGGGAGTAAAACTATATCTAGCTCTATGACTGTGATGACTTCTCTCCAAAAGCAAAACCAAGACTGCGCTCACATTAAAAACTTTTCAAACGGTTCACCTAGTGAAGGATGCAGGAATACCCTAAGGTGAACACAGTTACAGCAGCAGACTTCCTCCTGTCACTCACGTTAGTTCTGCAGCCAAGCATCATCAGGAAAGACACAGCTTTGCCAGTATAAGCTGTGTTTGCATTAGGAGTACCTTCATCTTAACGTACTAATATAGAAATAATGGGGTGCTTCCCCAGCGTGGATGCAGATGACAAATAGTTACAGCGTTCTTTTCCCCAAACTCACACACGCCTTTGTGCCACGAATAAGCACAGTGAACTTAATAGGAAATGAGGTAGTTCCGAATCTTGCTCAGGATCTTAGAGGTAATTCAAGCCACTAACTGTCTATATCATTTTGTTGAGGAAAACATAAGGAATCAATACAAGGACAATAGTTGTTCACAAAAGAAAACGGCAAAAGAAAAAAACACACCTGCCAGCAGCAGAAACACCAGAATAGAGTTTTGGCACCTGTACAAACCCCCATCTACACCCTGGTCATTTAGAAAATTGTCAGCAGCATGAATATCCTACTTCAACAGTAAAAAGAAACATTTGTTCCGCTACAGAAATCTGTTCTGCCAAGGCAAATCTTATGTGTAGGACAGTGACTACCTTATTACAATCCTAAAGTTAGTTCAAACCCTAAAGTCAGGAGTAACTCTATTGAAAAGGCTTGTCCGTTGCAAGGCTGATACCGATTTACTAGTGTTTTTACCCTTACACATATCCAACAGTTCATTGCTACAAAGTATGACCTCTTGCTTGTACACCCTAGTGTACATTATAAAATGTAGAAGAAAAAGATCTAGGGTTTCCTTGCCAAGACCACAATATACTCCTGGGGCAGAAAACACACAGTGATGGAACAGACACAGGGAGGGGACACAGATGACCATGAAACTGTATGTATTTTCTCACTCATTTTTTCAGTTTGGTCCAGTCACTTCCCCTACTATTTTTAGTTGTAACATCTACAACAGTTATTTCAATTATAAAATGGGTTAAGTCGCCTTCTGTGCTGAATCTGGCATCTAAAAATAGCAATAAAATTATACTCCCCCCCAATAACTTACAAATCCCTTTAGAACAGACAGTTTATCAGAAAGTATTCCACAGTCACAGAGGGAGAGCTCCTTCTTAAACACCCTGTCTTTCTAGCTTCATCACTGCTCACGCCTGTCCTAATGCCAAGATCTTCTACTGTCTACATCTTGCATTTACCAGAATAAAAAGACTGTTGTTTCTCCCTTCAATTAAGTCACTGGGTTCTGCATGTTCATAGAATGTCCAACATTTGACAAAAAGACATGTAAACCTCCAGCCATTACTTCTCAACATCCAAATAGCAAGTAGCCTTATTATACAATAATGCAGCTAAATTATATTATTACTAGTGAATTTGCAGCAATGAAGTGTTTGACCTACATAGCTTTCTTGTTACCACAACTCAGAACAAACGGATTTCTTTCAGTAATAGTATTCATTTTGGTAGCATCCAGAAAACAAGACCTCCGAAGCGACTGAACCACCAAAATAAGTTTTGTGAGAGAGGTTTGTTATTAACGTGGTCAACACAACAGTTCCAAAAGCAAGTCAGCTGAGCAATCTGCAATGGAGATGAGTAACAAATCCTCCCTGACAGTTCTTGGCAGGACAAATTCTTGTGTTATGGAGCAGTGAGAAAATGAAGGCCATCAAGGAAAGAATAGGATGTCTTTCAAAGAGAGCCCATGCAAAACCAGCAAGAACAGAAAATACTTACAAGGCAGCGCAAATGCAAGAATTTAAAATGTAAAAATAAGAATTCTCTACTGAATATAAATAAGTTTAGGAAACAAATTTATCAACACATTAAGAGATTATGCAAAAGTGTCGACACATGAAAGTTCAGATTAACCACACACTGCTCCGAACAGCTCCTATTCAGCTTCTAAATAAACACTTTCTCTGCTAATTTTTGAGGGATGAAGAACATCAACCTTACAGCTACATAGTACAGGGTACTGCTAAAGAAAATTCTTTAATCATAAACATCACAATGTGTTTTATTTTGAAGCATACTTTTATCACCTATCACTGTATTTTATTGTGAAGTTTCAGCTTCCAGACCATGTTCTGCAGAAAATGTGCAATGGCAAACTCAGAAGCCATTTTATGCTAAACAAAACCAGATGTTTATTGATACCAATTGTCCACTTCTCCCTACTCACTTCTACCTACTAAACACCACTGTTGCACAAGAATGGCATCAAGCATTTTGGTACTTTTAAAGCTTCTCAAAAACTTTACTCAAAAGAGTAAGTTCTGAGAAAGCAAAACAGGCCTTTTTAAAGGAAAAAAGTTTTAAATATTCCTATGAAGTAGGGCACACACTTGGAGAGCGTATTGCTGTATGTCACATTTCAGATGAAACTATACTTCTCAGTAGACAGTTCTCTGTCAGTACCAGCCCACAGTTTTCCTAGCAGAAAGATTTTTTTTTTATTTGTTTAATGGCAGTTTTGGGTCATATTTGGTGTTTGGCTCTGAAAAGACAAAGTTTCACTTTCTTCGAAGTTTAGCCCAGCACATTTTCAGTATTTGCCAGCTAAGCCTTCTCCTAAGATACAACATAAAGTAGCTCAGAAAAAAGGTTG